AGTCTTTCGAGGTGCACAGGTGCTTTATTGTTATTAAAGCCCATTTGTTGATTTCCAGTTCACCTGTGGGTGTAGCCTGGTGTTTTTTATGATTTCCAGTTTTGTTCTACATTTTCCTTCTATCCAGGACCTTTTAATCTGACACCCCCACCCCCTTTTTCCATTTTAACTGTTTATTGCAAATTTGGTTGTTTATAGAGCAGGTTATAGTTTTATATTCAACAATCCATACACATGCTGATTTAGCTCACTATTGTAATCCTCTCAAAATACCATTGGTTCCAGACCCCTCCGAAAGCCCCTCCTAGCCACGTCGCTTCTGGAGCGAAAGCCTTTCAAATCCATTTTTACGATAGAGAATGTGAAGGCCAAGATCCAGGACAAGGAGGGAATTCCTCCGGATCAGCAACGGCTGATCTTTGCTGGCAAGCAGCTGGAAGATGGACGCACCCTGTCCAACTAAGGTTAAGCTGGCTGTCTTAAAATACTATAAGGTGGATGAAAATGGCAAAATTAGCCACCTTTGGCGCGAGTGCCCCTCAGATGAGTGTGGTGCTGGGGTTTGCATGGCCAGCCACTTTGACAGACATTACTGCGGCAAGTGCTGTCTGACCTACTGCTTCAACAAACCAGAAGACAAGTAACTGTACTGGCTAATAAAAGCCATGAACATTAAAAAAAAAATACCATTGGTTACCTCACTTATAGAAGCTGGATTATATGAAGAAGAGTGTGGCATCAGGATTGGAGGAAGGCTTATTAACTACCTGTGATATGCAGATGACACAACCTTGCTTGCTGCAAGTGAGAAATTGAAGCACTTGCTGATGAAGATCAAGGATTGTAACCTTCAGTATGGATGAAATGCAATATAAAGAAGACCAAAATTCTCACAACTGGACCAATGATAAATGGAGAAAAGGTTGAAGTTGTCAAGGATTTTGTCTTGCTTGGATCCACCATCAATGCTCATGGAAGCAGTTGTCAAGAGATCAAAAGATGAGTTGCTGCACAAGACCTCTTTACAGTATTGAAGAGCAAGGGACTTACTTTGAGGACTAAGGAGCATCTGACCCAAGCCATGGCATTCTCCATTGCCTCATATGCACGTGAAAGTTGGACACTGAATAAGGAAGACCCGAGAAGAATGGATGCATGTGAATCGGGGTAGTGGGGAGAATATTGAAAGTACCATGGACTGCCAAAAGGATAAACCGATCTGCCTTGGAAGAAGTCAGGCCAGAGCGCTCCTTAGAG